TGCTAGAAAAGAAGTGGAAAGACATAAAGCTGAAAGACTAGAGGCTGAAAGACTTGAGGCTGAAAAGGTTCAATCAGAACAAAACAGTGCCTCTGAAATATCTGGTAAGGTAGGATTTTCTATTCAGCTGAATTTACAATGTCTTTCCTCTTATTTATTTACTATTAAGTTATATTCTTAATTCAATATTTCTGATTTTTTTTGTCTCTGAATTATTTTTGAGTGTTTATAACAGTTTATATTATTATTTCACTGAAACAAAAGTCAAATTAAGTAAAATAATAACTTACTCTGTACTTGAGTATTTCCTGTTAAAACTCCTCATCGACATAGTATGCGCACTCAATAGCAAGAAATAAATAAGACATAAATTCACTTTTTATTGCTTACTTGTCAACACGTCGGAACCTCATTTTGTGGACCAACAGTACCAGACAGATATAACTGGGGAGTTATTGGACATGCAGAATAAGTATATGCAGGATTGCAACTACAACTTAGTGAAATGAAGAATCAACTACCGTCTTCATTTCAATTGAATACAAGTGCAATGAGCAGCGCAAACATTGCCGTCTTTTTCCGTAAGGAGCCAAGTCTTCAACCGGGTTTCACGTTGAGAGTAGTTGACTCGAGCGCAGTTACCACAACTTTGCTAGTTCCTTCTACATCCTTTGTCAGTATACTATTTACCCATCCCGATGTGAAGAAATTATAAGCATCCGTTGACTTCCAAGTCCTCATTTCTTGCCCAGTTTTTCAGGAGGTTTGGATGACCAGGTAGTTTACAATATTGGGATAATTGGCACGTAAACGACTCTCGCCAGGCATACATTATAATTCGCGCTGTTTCATTCACGCTAAATACTTTGGAAAGCCGCCAAAGTTAATTCGAAACGCTGGCGAGTTGCATATGAAATCGAAATTTTTCATCATCTCGTCATGAGCTCTAGTGTCATTGATTTAAGAGCAGTGTGCGCAGGTTATTGTTCTCGGATGATCTCCTGTAAGCAGTATTTTTATCCAATAATGGAGTACCCTGAAAATTGTGAAGACTACTCTTTCACCGCTATCGAGTGAATTTATCAAGTCTTTCCCATCACCTTTCATCGAATAACACTCACTTTTCTTCCTGCTGAGTGGTACCAAGAACCTCCTATGGCTCATGGACTATTCACCATGTTTACTTTTTAGTAAAGACGCCAAATTACTTGATTATGATAAATTCATGATAACTATGCCTATAACTCAATCCATTCATCCATCCATCCATTGTTCGTAGCACTCTTGCTAAGAAAAAAACCTTCCCGTTCTTTTTGTTTAGTTCTTTTTTTCTTTATTTTTTGTGCGTTTTACTTTTTATTCTTTTGAAACGATGATCCATACAAGGAACATATCACTCGAGGAAATTCATACTTAATTGCCGAAGCAGATCATCAATTTTTTAAAGACGTTTTTCTTGCCATTAGCAGACGCGTTTTCAAATTAAACTTGTCAGCCAAAGAATAAGCTTCATTGTTATTCTTTAAGCTACGTAGATGCTGATTGTTCAAAGAAAAAAATGCGAGAAAGTTTCAGGAAAAATTAAATTGATTAATTCACCTGTATCGAACACAAAGGTACAATCATCACAACGGGTAGAGAGAGTTAGGAAAGGAGTAGCATGGTCAAAATCAAACAAACAAACAAACGAAAAATTTAACTCTACCGGAAAAATTCGAAAGATTCTATTTATTCAGTTAGATTAACTAGGAAAACCCAAGAAGGTTATTTAAGCTAATTAAAATTAAAAAAAAAAAAACAGGCATGATCTAAAAAATCTTGCAATTTGAATTAAAGTTTTTGTTTTTTTCGCCCAGTCGCTCAAATCATCATAACAAAGCAATTAAAGTATTCACCCTTCAAAAAAGGCTTTATTAACAATTTGTCTTTTCCTTCCTTTTCCATCGATACGCGCCCTTTTTATGGGACTATATGAGTTTCCAACGGCTTCACCAGTCTATGAAAACCCCCTTAACCTAATTCAACTATGGTTAAACAATTGCCACAGGTAAATCTCTACAACGCTCAAAACCCTGTCAATATAGCGTCATGTGTTTTTCTAAAAAATTAGCCGACACAGACCTTTTAAACGAAATCGAAACTTCAGACTAAACAAAAGTTTTTTTGAACTTCGGCGAGCTAATTCCCCTTCTCCTGTGCAGACAGCCTTTCATTAGTCAATAGCTCACTCCAAGGGTAAGGGAGTTATGCTGGTATACTTGCGCAGTCGTTAATCTTCATCATTAGCAATGATCAATATATCGTTAAAAGAACGCCAGTAATAATAGTAATAGTAATAGTAATAGTAATAGTAATCAAAGTTTAATGTCTTTACGTGGGGCATGGTTACCCATATTGCCCGAGCCAGAGGCTCATGTATGAAACACAAGACAACAACCCACCCATCCCACCCCAGGGGAGGACATCCATCACACAGTAATCTCGTGCGTGGGAAATTAACGTCTTCTACCCCTAACTTTGCAGGAGACGGGATCTCCGTTTATTCGTCCCTATCCGAGAAGACTAGAATATGTAAACCATTTCTTGATGTTATAGTAAGGCAGCATATTCTCAATTATTTTAAGACCTTGAGTGTTGGTCCGGCCGGGGCTCGAACCCTCGACCTCCCGCACATCAGTCCAGCGCTCTATCCATTGAGCTAACCGGGAGGCGGTTTTGCAATTTGTAAACAGCGGGTGTTGTAGAACAAAGAAGAAACACCTGAAATATTTTCTGATCTGGTGGTCATAAATACCTGCTTCGCTCTCCTGGCTCAACAAACAAGCCTGGCCAACGTCCTGAAGGTCGACATGATGCATAGGAGAATGTTTTTTGGAATACTTATTTTGTCTCTTCTACTCATCAACAACAGCTTTGGAATTGGAATGATTTGCGCTGAAAACGATCCAAGACCAGTAAAGTTTCTCTGTTTTATCATCTGTAAAGTTCCTTTTTCTGCTTTATCAGAATTACCTGTTAAGTGCACCGGTTCTATCTCATAATTAGGATCAAGTTCGAGCCTCTTTTGGGAGAAAATGCCTCTCTCTGTCCTTAAAATCAGGCTTTGTGGAAACACCAACCATTGAATCATCGTAAGATAAGCAAACAACTTGTTACACCAGCCTTTCAGAAATTTCATCATCTGATTGAGAGGGTGGCTCTTTCTTATCCTTTATTTAAGTTCTAGAGAGTATTCGCGTTTTTTATGTCACATATCTCATTTCGCCATCACAGAACTGTAAGAAAAGTCTGGCCGAAAGACAGATATGTTCGATTGCAAGGCGCGTGGACTGTGAAAAATTTCTAAGTGACCAGCCTGATGACGCAACCTTAGCAACTCAGCAGACATGGACCTGAAGTTGATGTAGATCGTTTGGCAAAAGCTTTAAACAATTAATAAAACGAAAACAGCTACTGCACTGCCAAGAGTGCTTTAGTTATTTTTTAATCGCCTACAACTATTAGCAGATGCTGTATTACTCGTCTCCAACTTTTGTTTTGAAATCAAACAAATTTGGAAATTCCATTATATTGAACACTTCGTAAGTTGTCCTTGTTAGCGAGCTGTAAAGTATTCAATTGTGAGTGATATTCACCCATTTACAGACAGAAAGAAGTCCTTTTAATTTGACCATGTTGTTTCGTAGTTCGTGCGAAGTACTCCTGAAAACGCAGAGGGTCGGTAGTAGTGAATGATGATTCAATAACGGGATTTGAAACTCGCTGGAATAATGATCTCCCCTTCGTCTCTAACTCCCATCTCCCAGGAAATAAACGGCTGCTCCCCTACTTTACCATTAGACGGAGGGAAGTGTCAAAATTTTTCAAAATGTTCCTTGTGAGGTCCGTTGTCCAGTGTTTAAGTGTGAAAGCTTTAGAAAAATAGTTATTCAAATAAATTCCTACAAGTCGAGAATCAACGTTTGAAGTCTGCTCAGTCGAGATATATTCATTGATTAGACGGAGAAACTATTAGTCTTCCTAACTATCCACAAATGGTGTTTTAAATCATGTAATAAGCAGATATGTAAATTTATTTGAACAAAAAAAAAACTGCCTTTTCATAAAAAGGAGAGTTCAACTCCCATAAGACTGATTCGAAAACAAACATGGCCGCCATGGCGTCACATTAGAACGATCCGTAAGCTGCGGTGGATGAATAGGGAGCTTAAGATACAGACGTTTTCGGGGCGACGGCGACATGACAACCCAGGTAGACTGGGTCAGAGGTTGCCGTTTTCGCGCCATAATTTAAGTTGTTAAGATTCTGATGACGGCCGGCCCTTTGCGACTTCTGCGACTTTGTGGAGTTTATTTGTTACACTTTGTAAATTAAGGCTTTTTTGTCGTAACATGGCTACGTTTGAAGAATTCCGCCATCTCCTCGTCCTTTACTACGACGCTAAAAAATGTGTCAAGCTGCTTTGTCCATTCCACGAGGCCATCGTGACGTCACGGGGAAATGGTCTTTGCTTTTGGTGGATTAAAATGTTACCCAGGGCAACAGCAACAGGAGAGAGTTGAATATATGCAATTTCTCCTTTACTGCGTGGATTTTCTGATTTAGCTCATTAAGATAATACATAGACTTGCTTCAGCGTGAATAAATTTACAACGGCTTGCGTCTGTTTGGGATCGACTTGTCGGCCTTTGCCAAAAAAAAAATGCAAAAAATATTTCTAAGTACTGTTTCTTCTCTTTCGTTTTTTTTTTTTTTTTTTTCCATCAAAGTTTGATTTCGTACTTAAAGTTTTTGATCTTTTTCTTTTGCCTAATAATTTTTTTCTTGTCCCCCCAAATTAGAAGGGTAAATTGAGAAGGGTACGATGCAAACGCCGGTTCTCATTCGTTATGACATTTATCCGCGGGCAGTTACTGGACATTATAGGATTGAGTTGTACGAAATAATAAGTTAAAGTAGAACAAAGACGAAAATTAAAAACAAAAATAACTGACAATCCTTTTCTTTTTGTGGACTTACTTTACTGGTAGATTTTGAAAGATCTAAACAACGTTTTACGTTTTTAAAGTTTAAAACATCTTCTCAGCTTATTAAATCTCTTGTTTCTGGCTCTCGAAGTCGGGGTAGTCGTCCTGTAGGATCTGATCACAACTCAGCCTTCGAGCGGCGGAACAGATTCGCCGCGCATGCCTTTTCATGATTTTTGCTTTGCCTTTGCACATGGAAAGGAAAAAAAAAATTGCTGACGTAACTGATAACGTGTGGTCCTACGAATTGGAAATGCATTTCCATACTCAAGAAAAGGCGAATTTGCTATACAGATAATGGTCGGAGATAGTTTTTTTTTTCTTTTTGTTTCTTTCTCTAGTTCTCGCTTTCTACACAAGCTGGTCTCATGTGGGAAGAATTACATTAGCTTTTACCAAAACAAATAATGTTACTTACGGGCCTTGCGTCATTTGTAGTGCACGCATGTGCGATTCCTTCAACGTAGGATCCCTGGATGAGAAGAATTGAGAGCAGGAAAAGGATGTTGAGCACCATTTTTGCTTCCATCTCCTTAGCTTGTTACCTTTCTCGTAGAAATAAATAACGTTGCGCTGGGGTCAGTTTGGTTAGGAGACAAAGAGGTGTGAGCCTAATTTATACATATGCGGCTCATTGAATGTTTGGATCATATCAAGAGCTGGGAACAGACCCTTATATAAAACTACCATGACATTTTATTCAAAACCCCCTTATGTAAATCATTATCGTTACAGGGGTCCTAACAGTAAGGGGTTTTTACAATCAGGGGTTCTTACAATCAGGGGTTCTTACAGTCAGGGGTTCTTACAATCAGGGGTTCTTACAATCAGGGGTTCTTACAATCAGGGGTCTTACAGTCAGAGGTTCTTACAATCAGGGGTTCTTACAGTCAGGGGTTCTTTCAATCAGGGGTCTTCCAGGCAGGGGTTCTTAAAATCAGGGGTGTTATAATCAGGGGTTCTTACAATCAGGGGTTCTTACAATCAGGGGTCTTACAGTCAGGGGTCTTAAAATCAGGGGTTCTTACAATCAGGGGTCTTACA